CGTCCCTTTGTACAGATGGGCAGACTGAGCCCCAGGGTACAGCAGACAGTAGCTCTGGCTCTCAGCACATTATCATCCCAGACTCCGTACAGCTGCCTAAGGAGCCAGGGTTTCCTTTCTGTCCCAAGTGAGAAGTGGCATTTGTGCTGATTAAGAGCCTGGGCTCCAATCCCAACTCCTCCGTTTCCCAGCTGTGTGGCTTTAGGCAAGTCGCTTCGCCTCTCAGAGCCTCCGTTTCCTCACATGTAATGATAAAGAATCAAGCACTCTCCCCTCTAGCACCGTGTGAGGATTCTGTTTATTTATTTATTTATTTATTTATTTATTTTTGAGATGTAGTCTCTGTCACGAGGCTGGAGTGCAGTGGCTTGATCTCAGCTCACTGCAACCTCCGCCTTCCGGGTTCAAGCGATTCCTGTGCCTCAGCCTCCCGAGTAGCTGCAGATTACAGGTGTGGGCTGCTGCGCCCGGCTGGAAAGGGAGTTTCTGAGCGTGCTGCTGGATCACTGAGCACCTACTGTGTGCCAGGCCGTGTGGTGGGTGCTGGGGACACAGCCAGGACCCCGGCAAAGTCACGATATCCACCGACACGGAGCTCGAAGTCCGAAGGAGGAGATGGATTGTGTGACCGGGGCGATGGGAACGGGGATAGAGGACACACAGGCAGCTGGGGGAAGCCCAGAGGAGGCCTAGGGAGGAGAGGAAATCAGGGAGGCTTCCTGGAGGAGGTGACACTTAAGTTGAAACTCAAAAGATGAGCAGGGGCAGTCAAGTGAAGAACGAGGGGAAGCTGTGCCCAGTAAAATCAGAGCTGTCATGCAGGAAACGCAGGTAGCTGTGGGAGCCTAGAGGAGACCTAGGGAGGAGGAGAAATCAAAGAAGGTTTCCTGGAGGAGGTGACACTAAAACTAAGGTACAAAGAATGAGCAGGCAGAAGTTGAGTGATGAATGAGGGTAGGTGCGTGCTAACAAGGCCACTCTATCAGGGGCAACAAAGGTTAAGCGAAAAGCCCCCAGATGGGAAGGACCAAGAAATAATTCAGCTCAGCCAAAGCAGGGCAGAGGGGGCAACAGGGTCAGCCAACACGGGACCAGAAGGCAGACAGAGAGCTCTGGGCCTGCCCAGACTCCACTCATTCCAAATTCCACCAACACCCCACCTTGCCTGCTGTGGTCCCCACCACACACACAGAGAACGGGAATCAGGAAAAGATAAGAACTACCCTGGCTCATCATGCCTGCAGAGGGCTGTTTGGGACTTCACTGGTGAAATGGCCAGCCACAGTTCCATCTGTCTGCAATTGGCCAGCCATAGTAGCTCATGCCTGTAGTCCCAACACTTTGGGAGGCTGAGGCAGGATGATCACTTGAGCCCAGGAGATTGAGACCAGTCTGGGAAACATAGCAAGACCCTGTCCCTCTCTTTTTTTTTTTTTTTTTTTTTTTGAGATGGAGTCTTGCTGTGTCACTCAGACTGAAGTCCAGTGGCACAAACTCGGCTCACTGCAACCTCCGCCTCCCAGGTTCAAGCGATTCTCCTGCCTCAGCCCCCCAAGTAGCTGGGATTACAGGCATGCACCACCACACCTGGCTAATTTTTGTATTTTTAGCAAAGATGGGGTTTCACCATGTTGGCCAGGCTGGTCTCAAACTCCTGACCTCAGGTGATCCACCTGCCTCGGCCTCCCAAAGTGCAGGGATTGCAGGGGTGAGCCACGGCGCCCAGCCCCATCTCTACAAAAAATATAAAAATTAGCCAGGTGCAGTGGTGTGCACCTGTAGTTGCAGCTACTCGGAAACCCAAGGCAGAAGGATCACTTGAGCCTGGGAGACTAAGGCTGCAGTGAGCTATGATCACACCACTGCACTCCAGCCTGGGTGACAGAGCAAGACCCTGTCTCTAAAATAGAAAAGAAAATAAAGAACTGTCCCCTCAAAATCTACATGATCACATCATGACCCCCAGGACCTCAGCATAGGATGTTATTTGGAAGATAGGGTTGTGGCAGATGGCATTAGTTAAGATGAGGTCATACTGGAGCAGGGTGGGCCCTTAATCCCATATGACTGGTGGCCTTAGAAAAATGGGGAAATTGGCCGGGCGTGGTGCTCACGCCTGTAATCCCAGCACCTTGGGAGACTGAGGCAGGCAGATCAGCTGAGTCAGGAGTCCGAGACCAGCCTGGCCAACACGGCAAAACCCCATCTCCACTAAAAATACAAAAACTAGCCAGGCATGGTGGTACCTGCCTGTAATCCCAGCTCCTCGGGAGGCTGAGGCAGGAGAATCACTTGAACCCGGGAGGTGGAGGTTGTGGTGAGCTGAGATTGCGCCACTGCACTCCAGCCTGGGCGACAGAGCGAGAGTCCATCTCAAATAATAATAATAATAATACATAAATAAATAAATTTAAAAATAGGAAAATGAGCCGGGCTTGGTGGTGGACTCCTGTAGTCTCAGCTAGTCAGAAGGCTGAGGTGGGAGGATCACTTGAGCCCAGGAGTTTGAGACCAGCCTGGGCAACTTAATGAGACCCTCGTCTCTTAAAATAAAAAAGGTTGAAGGAGCTGGGGGAGTTTGGACACAGACCCAGGGAGGACACCTCGTCGAGATGGAGGCAGAGATGGGGGTGATGCTTCTCCAAGCCAAGGAACATCAAGGATGCATGCCACCAGCAGGACCTAGGAGAGGCCTGGGCAGATCCCCATCAGCCTCAGGAGGACCCAGCCCTACTCACACCTTCATCTCAGACTTCCGGCTCCCAGAATTATGACAGCAGAAATGTCTGCTTTTCAAGCGTCCCCATCTATGAGACTGTCATGGCTGCTCTAGCAAATCGATACACTGACAGACTAAATTTGTAACTTTCATTTCATTTCTTCTTTTTTCTTTTGGTTTTGTTTTTGTTTTGTTTTTTGAGACAGAGTCTCACTTTGTCACCTAGGCTGGAGTGCAGTGGCGCAATCTTGGCCTACTGCAACCTCCGCCCTCCGAGTTCAAGCGATTCTCCTGCCTCAGCCTCCCGAGTAGCTGGGATTACAGGCGCCTGCCACCGCGCCCAGCTTATTTTTTGTATTTTTAGTAGAGACAGGGTTTCGCCATCTTGGCCAGGCTGGTCTTGAACTCCTGACCTCGTGATCCACCAGCCTCGCCCTCCCAAAGTGCTGCGATTAAAGGCGTGAGCCACCATGCCCAGCCTAACTTCCATTTAATTTCAATTAATTTTCTTTTTTTTTCTTTTTTTTTTTTTTCTTTTTTTTTTTTGAGACGGAGTCTGGCTCTGTCGTCCAGGCTGGAGTGCAGTGGCCAGATCTCAGCTCACTGCAAGCTCCGCCTCCCGGGTTTACGCCATTCTCCTGCCTCAGCCTCCCGAGTAGCTGGGACTACAGGCGCCCGCCACCTCGCCCGGCTAGTTTTTGTATTTTTTTTTTTAGCAGAGATGGGGTTTCACCGTGTTAGCCAGGATGGTCTCGATCTCCTGACCTCGTGATTCGCCCGTCTCGGCCTCCCAAAGTGCTGGGATTACAGGCTTGAGCCACCGCGCCCGGCCGAATTTTCTTTCTTTTTTATTTTATTTTATTTTTTAGAGACAGGGTCTCTGTCATCTAGGCTGGAGGGCAGTAGCACGATCACGGCTCCCTGCAGCCTCGACCTCCTGGGCTCAAGTGACCCCCCCACCTCAGCCTCTCGAGTAGCTGGAACCACAGGCACGCACCACCATGCTCGGCTAATTTTTTTAATTTTGGAGGATTTTTTTGTAGAGATGTGGTTTCACCATGTTGCCCAGGCTGGTCTCGAACTCCTGCGTTCAAGCAATCCTCCTGTCTCAGCCTCCCAAAGTGCTGTGATTACAGGCATAAGCCACCATGCCCAGCAAGTTCCATGAATTTTTAATAGCCATGTGTGCCTCATGGCTGCTGTATTCGTGGTTAAATGGCCCCTACACACCGCATTCCCCATCGTGCAGTGGAGAAATCATGACTTAAAGCAGAGCTGCCTGAGCCCAGGAGGCGGGTGGGGTGGATGCTGACTGCCTCTGTCCAGACACTGGACTGGACGGGGCTGGCTTGGTCCTGGGAGGAGGTGGGCGAGAACTGTCTATGAGCTGCAAGTGCTGGAGGCTTCCAGATTCACATCTGCACTGAAACTGCGGCTACCCACCCCATGGGGCTACCGAAATACAAACAGATTCAAATTCAACACAACCTACACTGCGAAATTCAGTTCTCTGCTTGCACTGTAGCCCCGTGGGGCTGGCGTCTCCCGTACTGAATGGTGTGGAGCTGGCACGTCTCCCCTGGAGTTTCACGGGACACGCAGCCGTCAGCCTCTGTGGCTGGTGCTGAGTGCGACCTTGTGCTTCGGCTTCAGTGATTAAACCATTTTACAGACGGGGAAAGCTGAGGCCGTTGGTGCTGAAGGGGATGTGAGGAAAGATCCCCCAGGCCAGGAAGCCAAGGCGGCCGCCTCTGCCGGCCCCCAGACTGGGTTCCCAAAAGATGCAGAGGCCAGAGCCGGTGCATGGGCCCTGCCGTTTCTAAAGGGGAAGTGAACAAGAAGAGGCGGGGTTAACTGTCACTGTAACCCCCACTTCCTGCAACGCCCAGAGGTTGTTCACACACGCACACTCTCCACCCTCACAGCCACGCCTCCAGGGCGCTGGCCCGTGGCCCTCTCTAGGCCCGTGGCCCTCTCTAGCCAAGACACACCTAGCTGCCCCCAGATCCACAGCCCCCCTGAGCCACGGTCCGCGCACATGCACACACCGGGGAATAAGAGGCTGCAACATCACATACCATGATCGAACTTCAATGTTGCCAGGGCATGCATCCCACAGTCCACCCCTTGCAGCCTGAGAGCCCTACTGAGGCCCAGAGAGGGGCCGGGACTTCCCAAGAATCACACAGAAGCGGGGGTGTGGGGAACCCCCTTGCCCCCACACCAGGGCACTCTCTGCTCCTACAGGGAGGTGGGGCGGTTGCCTCCTTGTCCACGGTGACCACGGGAAGGCCCAAGAGGCCACCGGGAAGACCACGGGGGCCTGTCCCGTTCTCTGCTCCCCATCCAAGCAAGGCTCCGTGTACACGGCTTCCTGCACCCCAGGAGGGCCTGCCTGGCACGTACCCGGTGGCTGCACCGTCCGCACGCAAGGCTGCAGTCTCAGATGCTCCGCACGCTGGAGATGCTGGACAGGGGCTCCCGCATCCGAAAGCTGAGTGACCGGGAGCCCCGAAAGCTGTCCCTCGGCCTCAGAGAGCTGTCGGTGGTGGAAGTTCCAGAGTGAGCCTCGACAGCCCGGGCCAGGCAGTCCCCGGGACCTCGCATGCCCAACCGGAGACACCCGCAGCAGAGGAAGCCGAGCACGGCTCTGCACACCTCCCTGCTGCGGAAGGAGTAGATGATGGGGTTGACCGCCGAGTTGAGGACGGCCAGGGCCAGGATCCAGTCCATGCCCCGCAGGTACTCCTGGGCCCAGAGGTTGGAGCCAAAGACGTCGGCCAGCAACAGCCCAAAGAGCGGACCCCAGCACACCAGGAAGGCCAGCAGGATCATCAGCACCGTCTTCAGCAGGCGGCGGGCCTTGCGGCGGGCGGCCGGGCGTGGGGCCTTCTGCCCACTGGCCTGCACCAGGCGGAAGATGGCCCCGTAGAGGCCCATGATGGTAGCCAGGACGCTGGCGAAGATCACCAGGCAGAAGAGGATGTAGCGCTTGGAGTAGAGGGGCAGAAGGCTGGAGCAGCGGTCAAAGGCGCACAGGCAGTTCCAGCCCAGCAAAGGCAGCATTCCCAGCAACGTGGCCAGCAGCCAGCAGAGGCCGATGAAGCTGTAGACGCGGCCGGTCTTGGTGGCCCCACTCTCGGCCACCGGCCGCACCATGGTGGCAAAGCGCTCCCCGGCGGTGAACAGCAGGCTGAAGGTGGAGGCGGCCAGGGCGGTGAAGAGCAGGCCCTCCCGTAGGAACCACTGGGCGGGCGCCAGGCGGAAGGTGCGGGCCCCCGACAGCAGCACGTTGGCCAGGTAGGCCGCGCCCGTGAGCAGGTCGCTCAGTGTGATGTTCACCAGGCAATAGTAGACCCAGCGTCGCGACCGCATGTGGCTCGTGATGGCCGCCAGCACCAGCAAGTTCTCCAGCACCACCAGGCAGCTGGCGGCCACCGACAGCCCCCGCAGGGCCCCAAGGCCACCGTCCTCCGGCCCCCCGCGCCCGGCCAGCCGGCCCGAGTGGTTGTAGTGCATCACGATGAGCCGGCTGTGCCCGCCGGCCGCCAGCTGTTGGCAGGACTCGGGGGCCACCGGGGTCCCCGTGGCATTCATGGCCTCCCCCGGGGGCTGACTGAGGCCCCGAGTCAGGGTGGAGCCGCCCGACTTACTGGTCTTGGTTTCCTGTTATTTGAAATTTCCTGTTATGTTCAAGGTACCCTCCAGGGTGGAGGTAAGGCCGAGGACAGGGAGGGGCACCCCAACGGTAGGCCCCCACCCAGGATCCTGGAGCCAACCTGCTGGGGCCACCCCAGCTGTGAGACCCCCCCACCCCGACCTCTACCCCGGCTGCCTTCTTCCTGTCCTCGAAAGCCAGAGACCCGCAGGGAGCCCCAGAGCTGTCAGTCACAGAGGGGAAATGGGTCTCCACTCAGGATGGGCCACCCCTCTGCAGCCGGACGACTCCTCCCCACCAGCCCTGATCACCCCTGAGACTCGTCTGCTCCACTGAGGTCTCCCCAGATGCTCCCAGCAGGCTCAGCACACAGCAGGTGCTTAATAAATGTCAAGTGCCTACGTGGCCTCGAGCACCGACTCATCCAACTTGATCCCCTCAACAGGGCCTGATGCATTATACACTATCAGCCCTGATGCGTTACAGAAGGGGAAACTGAGGCCCAGAGAGCCCGATGCGTTACAGAAGGGGAAACTGAGGCCCAGAGAGCCCGATGCGTTACAGAAGGGGAAACTGAGGCCCAGAGAGCCCGATGCATTACAGAAGGGGAAACTGAGGCCCAGAGAGCCCGATGCGTTACAGAAGGGGAAACTGAGGCCCAGGGAGCCCGATGCGTTACAGAAGGGAAACTGAGGCCCAGGGAGCCCGATGCGTTACAGAAGGGGAAACTGAGGCCCAGGGAGCCCGATGCGTTACAGAAGGGGAAACTGAGGCCCAGGGAGCCCGATGCGTTACAGAAGGGGAAACTGAGGCCCAGGGAGCCCGATGCGTTACAGAAGGGGAAACTGAGGCCCAGGGAGCCCGATGCGTTACAGAAGGGGAAACTGAGGCCCAGGGAGCCCGATGCGTTACAGAAGGGGAAACTGGGGCCCAGAGAGCCCGATGCATTACAGAAGGGGAAAGTGAGGCCGAGAGAGCCTGACGCGTTACAGAAGGGGAAACTGAGGCCCAGGGAGCCTGATGCGTTACAGAAGGGGAAACTGAGGCCCAGGGAAACTGAGGCCCAGGGAGCATGATGCATCACAGGAGGGGAAACTGAGGCCCAGAGAGCCTGACGCGTTACAGGAGGGGAAACTGAGGCCCAGGGAGCCTGATGCATCACAGGAGGGGAAACTGAGGCCCAGAGAGGCGGCCCGAGGCCCACTTTCCGCCCATGGGAGGACATGCACCTCCAGGGAGAGGGAGCCCCAGGGACAAGCTGGTAGGGTCTCAGGGCCAGGCCCCCACTTTGGGATTCATGGTTGCCTCTCCTGCCCCTGAGCTCACCCTGCTGGGAGCAGAGCTGCCGGCCCCCAGGGCAGCCCCCACCTGGGTTGAGGTGCGTAGGAAAAGTAGGGGCTTACTGGCCCCACCCCCATGGCCCTGCTGAAGCCGGCTCACCATGACTCAGCCTGAGGTGAGGTGGCTGTGGGTCTAAGTGGAGACACACCCTGACTCGGTGTCTGAGGGAGGAGGCAGGCTCTGCCCTGGGTCTGAGCGGGGAGGCTTGGACCTGCCTGGGGTCTGAGCGGGGAGGGTTGGCCTTGCCCTGGGGTCTGAGGGGGGCGGCTCAGACTTGCCCTGGTGGCAGAGGCAAGGTCCTGCCTTGGGGTCTGAGCGGGGAGGCAGGCCCTGTCCTGGGTCTGAGGCGGGAGGCGAGGCCCTGCCTTGGGGTCTGAAGCGGGGAGGCGAGGCCCTGCCTTGGGGTCTGAGGGGAGAGGTGAGGCCCTGTTCTGGGGTCTAAGGGAGGAGACAAGACCCCACCCTGAGGTCTGAGTGGGGATGCACGGCCTTGCCCTGGGGTCTGAGGGGGAGGCATGTCCCTGTCCTGGGTCTGAGCAGGGAGGTGAGGTCCTGCCCTGTGGTCTGAGGAGGGAGGCTCAGCCTTGCCCTGGGATCTGAGGCATGTAGGGGCTTGGACATCTTCTGTCATGGATGGATTGTGGGGTCTCTGCTCTCCAGCTCCCCCAGTGTCTGTGACCCCCGACTCATCCTCATCCAGAAGGCCCTGGGGTGTAGGGTGGTTTGAGAAATAATGCAGGCCCCAGAAGTGTGAGCAGGATCCAGGATAAGTCCCTGCTGGACGCCTCCTCCCACCCGCAATCACCCCCAGGCCAGGCCCACTTACCACCAACCAGGGTCCTGAGAGACCCCACCTGCCCCCTGTCCCCCCAGGAGCCTGTGGTCTTCAGCCTTTCTGAGACAATGGTGTCCTTGGCCTCAGGGTGGGGGCAGCTGAACTAATTCTACCAGTAAAGTGTCCTGGGAGGGTCACGAGTGTACCGTGAGGACACAGGCATCCCATGAGGGGCACAGATGTCCCCTGAGGGCTCAGGTGTTGAAGGCCGAAAGAATGAGGGTCACGATCAACTCAGTGTACATAGGATCGATATGAGTAAACAGCAAACTGTTCTCACGAAAGCAGGATGTTGGTAAACTGACAAACTGCATCTGCCACCCACAAGGAATGCTGAGGGCAGTTGCGCCCCAGGAACAAGTGTTTCTTGCAAATAGGCAAATCTGGAGCCTGTTAGCAATAACGTGAACCTGTGATCGATCAAGCAGCTGACCAATCGTTTCCTCCTCCCTGCTCTTTCTACCCAATAAATACGAAGGGCTGTGGAAGCTTGGGGGGCTGTCTTTGCTCACTAGAAGCAGGGAGCTCTCTTCTTCCCCTGGCCCCTTCCTTTAAAACAGTTTCTTTTGTCTTAAGTTTTCATTTGTACATTTGTCCCTTCGTTCAGTCTTGTAATGATGGTCTCAAGTAGTCACAGTAGTAACCGTCGTAGTGACAGTCTCAAGTAGTAACCGTGGCAGCCACACACATGCATCCCATGATGGCACAGGTGCCCGTGAGAACACAGGCATCCTGTGAGGGCACAGGCATCCCATGAGAATGCAAGTGTCCCATGAGAGCACAGGTGTCCCATGAGAATGCAGGTATCCCATGAGGGCACAGGTGTCCCATGAGAACACAGGCGTCCCATGAGGGCACAGGCATCCCATGAGGGTCACAGGCGGCCCATGAGAACACAGGTGTCCCATGAGAATGCAGGTATCCCATGAGGGCACAGGTGTCCCATGAGAACACAGGCGTCCCATGAGGGCACAGGCATCCCATGAGGGTCACAGGCGGCCCATGAGAACACAGGTGTCCCATGAGAACACAGGTGTCCCATGAGAATGCAGACGTCCCATGAGAATGTAGGCGTCCCATGAGGGCACAGGCATTCCAAGAGGATCACAGGCATTCCGTGAAGGTCACAGGTGTCCCATGACAACACAGGCATCCCATGAGAATGCAGGCGTCCCATGAGAACACAGGCGGCCCATGAAAACACAGGTGTCCCATGAGAATGCAGGCGTCCCATGAGGGCACAAGCATTCCAAGAGGATCACAGGCATTCCGTGAAGGTCACAGGTGTCCCATGACAACACAGGCGTCCCATGAGAACGCAGGCGGCCCATGAAAACACAGGTGTCCCATGAGAATGCAGGCATCCCAAGATAATGCAGATGTCCCATGAGAATGCAGGCATCCCATGAGAGCACAGGTGTCCCATGAGAATGCAGGCGTCCCATGAGGGCACAGGCATTCCAAGAGGGTCACAGGTATCCCATGAGAACACAGGCATCCCGTGAGAACACAGGCGTCCCATGAGGGTCACAGGCGTCCCATGAGAACACAGGCGTCCCGTGAAGGCATAGGCATCCCGTGAGGGTCACAGGTGTCCATGAGAACACAGGCGTCCCGTGAGAATACAGGCATCCCGTGAGAACACAGGCGTCCCATGAGGGTCACAGGCGTCCCATGAGAACACAGGCGTCCCATGAGAGCACAGGCGTCCCATGAGAACACAGGCGTCCCATGAGGGTCACAGGCGTCCCATGAGAACACAGGTGTCCCATGAGAGCACAGGCGTCCCATGAGAACACAGGCGTCCCATGAGGGTCACAGGCGTCCCATGAGAACACAGGCGTCCCGTGAAGGCATAGGCATCCCGTGAGGGTCACAGGTGTCCATGAGAACACAGGCGTCCCGTGAGAATACAGGCATCCCGTGAGAACACAGGCGTCCCATGAGGGTCACAGGCGTCCCATGAGAACACAGGTGTCCCATGAGAGCACAGGCGTCCCATGAGAACACAGGCATCCCATGAGGGTCACAGGCATCCCATGAGAACACAGGCGTCCCATGAGAACACAGGCGTCCCGTGAGAACACAGGCGTCCCGTGAGAACACAGGCATCCCATGAGAATACAGGCATCCCGTGAGAACACAGGCATCCCATGAGCGTCACAGGTGTCCCATGAGAACACAGGCGTCCCATGAGGGCACAGGCATCCCGTGAGGGTCACAGGTGTCCATGAGAACACAGCGTCCCATGAGAACACAGGCGTCCCGTGAGAACACAGGCGTCCCATGAGGGTCACAGGCATCCCATGAGAACACAGGCGTCCCATGAGAGCACAGGTGTCCCATGAGAATGCAGGCATCTCATGAGAATGCAGGCGTCCCATGAGGGTCACAGGCGTCCCATGAGGGTCACAGGCATCCCATGAGAGCACAGGCGTCCCATGAGAATGCAGGCGTCCCATGAGGGCACAGGCATCCCGTGAGCGTCACAGGCGTCCCATGAGAACACAGGTGTCCCGTGAGCGTCACAGGCGTCCCATGAGAACACAGGTGTTCCATGAGAACACAGGCGTCCCATGAGGGGCACAGGCGTCCCGTGAGAACACAGGTGTCCCACGAGGGGCACAGTATCAGCCCTGAGAAGCGGGGGCACCCCAGGGAGGGCAGGGCTGGCAGGAGACGGGGACTGACGGTGGCAGGTGCTGGGGCCCCATGGCCCTTCCCTTTGCTTACAGTTCAGTTCTGAAGCAGGACAGTGTCAGGAGGCTCCATGCAAGGCACTGACTGGGGAGGCGGCTGCCTTTTGTCACTG